AATGCAAAAGTCCTAGGGAAAAAAAAAAACCTTGGTAAAGAATGATGCTTGGAGATTTATGTTATAAACTTCAAAATGTCTTATGAAGTTGCAAGTAACAAGACAGTGTGATACAGGCATCAAGATAGATAAATAGATCAATGAAGAACAAAAATTTTAAAAATAGGCTCACATATTTGGCCAATTGATCTCAATAAATTTACAAAACAAGGCCATCTGATGGTACTAAAAAAGCTGGACATATGATTCAAAACAAATAAAAAATGAAAAGAAGGGGAAGAAAAGAAACTATGTATACACATGAAGAAACCATGAGTGAATCTCAAAATAATTATGCTGAATAAAAGAAGTCAAGGTAAGAGTATATACTAGATAGTTTTATAGGTTTAAATTTCTTGAAAGGGCAAACTAATCTACAGTAGCAGAAAGTGGATTCATGGTTGCCTGGGAATGAATGGAAGAAGCTTGAGAGGGAGAGATTACAAAGGGCGGGGTGAATATGTTCATTCTCTTAATTTTGGCGATGATTTCATGGGTAAACATGTTGAGTTTACCTAATTATACACTTTAAATGTGCAATTGATTGTATGTCAATTATACCATGATAAAGCTGCTAGCATTTTGAAAAAGAAATGAACAAACAATTTATGGAAGCTTCTATTGGCTAAAAGACACATATTTGAAATCAGGACTGACCTGGGGAAGTGTATGTATATACACTTTCCACAGACATGTGACATATAAGGAAAAACTTTGGAGACCAGGAGACACCTTATAGAAAAAAAAAAAAAATCACCTATTCTTTTTCTCCATGTATAATCCATGAAAACATCTAGAAGAGTTAAGAACAATAAATTTTTCTATGTTCAGAGATAATAGAATGGGTTTTACTGGATTATAGAAAGTTTTAAATGCTAAGGAAATACTTGATATTGTGTGGTTTTAATAAAGCAATGTAATTTTAATATGGTTTCCAAAGTTTGATATTTGCTATCTGTTGTTGTTCAGTCACTCCATCGTATCTGACTCTTTGCAACTCCATCATCTGCAACACTCCAGGCTTCCTTGTCCTTCACCATCTCCCAGAGCTTGCTCAAACTCATGTCCATTGAGTTAGTGATGCCATCCAACCACAGTATATTTGTTATGGAATCATTAATTTTCTTACCACTCAGGGAAAGAAGTTTGATGTTTGTTTTAAACACTCCAGGAATAGGAATACCACTATACTGCCAACAAACAGATACTTTATAATTGTTTTTTCCCTATAGAGTTCAACTACTGGGATGACAATGCCCTAAGGGGAATTTATGCTTACATCATCTCCTTCAGGTCCACGTAGATGCAAATAAAATGTTTCTTCAATAACAGAGGACTGAGAGTCAGTGGGATTACTTTTCTTGCTCTGCTTAATTGGTTTTAAGCTGTTACTCATTGATAACATTTCTTGAATCCTTATATAACATCAACTCCATGGCTTTTCCAGAATCAGAAAGATTTGGAGCCATTAATGCTTGGTTGTAAAATTATCTTGTGTGTGTGTGTGTGTGTGTGTGTGTGTGCGCACACATGAATGCACTATGTGAGACCAAAGTTAAAACATCATATGGGACCAACAACACTTTACCTGTTGGTAATATTCAGGTAAGTCATGAAATTCTATCCACCCTTAATAAGATATTGTAGTTGAAGCTGAATTTTGGAAGGCAGGTAAAAATTCTTATCACCCATGCTAATGGGTAATACTGAACAGGCAGGTGTCTGCTTCTTGACAGGTAGGCATAAAGCATGTAATGCATAGAGACCATTTCTTCTCTCACTAGTTCTATACCTGTTCTGACTTCAAACTCTTGATTTCCTGAGTGCTCTCATATTAATAATATCTCTCATTTATATGCAACTTTGCAGTTTATAGAGAATTTTCACGTGCATTAATAATGTAACATCACAAGATTTAGTCAGGCCAGGAATTCCTTTCACTAGAAAGACACTGACATTAACCAATTGATATTATCCAACATCTCTGAGTTAGCAATGGGTCAATCGATGAATAAAAATTCAAGCTCCTGACACTCAGTCTAATTCATAACCTGCTACATTAAGGGTCAAAAATCATGCCATTCTCCACTCTATGCTTTCTAACAGTGGATTCACAAACCTTCAAAATGAAAGGCAGGAAGTCCTAACATTTTTTCTGACACCTCTATTCATTTATTCTGTCTGCTTTTCTCTTCTGGTTGCAATACTAGAATGAGAAACGTATCCCAGAACTTAAATTGTTAGATGTTTCTAATTTAAAAAAGACTCTTTTCATGGCTTAAACATCAAGATCTTCAAAAATTTTAAAACAACCCTATGCCTCAGAGACAGAATCACCCAAGAGTTCCTATTGTATTAGAAGAAGTTAAAGGAACTTTGTATCTAATACTTTGTCAAGGAAAAAGTAAATACATGTTAATCCATGGCTAATTCATGTCAATGTATGACAAAAACCACTACAATATTGTAAAGTAATTAGCCTCCAACTAATAAAAATAAATGAAAAAAAAAATAAATTTTGAACTATTTTTTGTTAATGTCACAATCCATACAGGTATATATATTTTTAATATTTATCTGAAGTGTGTCCAGTTTCTAATAGCACTAAGATAATTAAATCTTATCCCAGTCTTGGCAATCCTTATTCAGATTTTTCTAAGAAAAGAGAGTAATGCAAAGAATGTAAATGCATCCAAAGAAAATTTTTAAAAAAGAAAGGAAACCTAGGGGAACTTTCGTGTAAATATAGGCTACTGTCTGAGAGCATTGCTTTACTTGAAGACTGAAAAGAATTAGGGGTAGAAAGTGTGCCAAAGTCATGTTGGTAGAATTTGAAAGAAGAGAGAAAAGTGAACAGTTAAGTACAGATCTCTGCTGGGTCCTAGGGTCTGTGTTGGATGTCTATAGAGCAGCACTGTTGCTCTGTTGGAATACTGCTCTGGGGGAATTGCTGTAGGGAGTAGTCAGGAAGGGGTGATAAGGAATAGAAAAAGAACGGAGAAAAGGCACTAAAAATTCTTAATGTCTATTTCAAAATATCAGATATAACAATAAAAATGACCACACCAAACTTTATTGATAACTTTTCACATACCAGGAACTGCTTTAAGGTGTTTGTACACATCATACCTGATTGACCTCATCCAGTCCCTCGGCTTTTAATGTCATGCATGCACTGATGATTCAGAAAATAATGTCCAAGGCAGACCTCGCCTCTGAACTCCAAACTCATATCTTCAGTTTCCTACTCAATTTATCCATTTGGTCATATAATAAGACATCCAAATTAAAATATCAAAAACAGAAAACTGTCTCTTAAGCCTTCTCTCTACCATGACCATTGATCCAACCTCAGGCTCATATCCTCCATCCTATCTCTGCACTCTTTCTCAGATGCCCATATCCAATTTGTAATCCAGCTGCAATTTTTCTGACTACTTCTTGATATCCCCATCATTACTAGTCTGGTCCAAGCTATCATCTCTCAACAGGAGCACATTTTGTCTCCTATCTGATTTCCCTGAATCACCTTGTTCACTCTTCAATGAACATTCTTGACAGAGCAACCAGAGCCTGAAGGATCCTTTTTAAAAAAACATCAGAGCACAGAACACACTGCCTTCTGCAAACTCTCCAGCATTGCCCCATCATAGATGAGATGAGAGTCACAGGTTTTACTAATACTTGCAGCCAGCACACAGTTCCATTTACAGCCTCCACTTGTCTTTTAGGTTCTGACTAGTCCAGCCTCATTGGCCTCCTAGCGTTCCTCCAACACCCCAAGCATGCTCTCTGCCTTTAGATGCTTTTAATTCATTTCACTCAGGATAATTTGTCTTTAAAATTTTTATTTATTTTTAACTGAAGGATTATTGCTTTACAACATTGTATTGGTTTCTGACATACAACAACATGAATCAGCCATAAGTATACATATGTCCCCTCCTTCCTGTCCCTCCCTTCCACCTCCCACTCCATCCCACCCTATCACACCCCTCTAAGCTGTTATCCAGATACGGACATGGCTGCCCCTCTTTGGCTCCCATTCATAGAGGGCAAAGAAAGACTGAGAAAAGAGGCAAGTCACTGCAGATTGGTACGTGGCAGGTTTAATAAACGAAAAAATGAGGCTAGTCTCTGGTGGCCATATGGCAGTAGATCTCCACACCTGCCCACCAGAATCTTAAAGGTTTGTTTAGTGCAATAAGCAGTGAAAATATTATTGCTTTTAAATTGTATGATTTAACACACATGTTTACTTAACCTCTTTCTCAGTCTCTCAGTCAAGCAAAAACAAAGAAAAAGTCAAGATATCTTGGAGGAAATAAGCACTCTGCAACTGGAGTCAGAGAAGACCAAATTAAAGATGTTAAAGATGCCAAAGCCAAGAAGAAAAATGCAAGCGATACCAGCAAGAGACCATTTATAACAGCCCTTGAGACATTGTAAGAGAGCATAGATTGTTGCAGACTGAACATCAACAAAACAAGGTGGCAACACTGTACTATTTCTCCAAAGGTGTCTGAATTACAGAAAGGTGGTTTTCCATTAATTGTTGTTGTTCAGTCACCCAGTCATGACTGTCTGTTTGCAACCCCATGGACTGCAACATGCCAGGCCTTCCTGCCCCTCAACATCTCCCAAAGTTTTCCCAAGTTTATGTCCATTGCATTGGTGATTCCATCCATCCATCCATTAGTACAGGAATCTAAAATTCCATTTGTAAAGACAAAATGGTTTTCACTCCTAAATGTCACTTGAGAGTAGTAAAAACTGGAGCCAAATAAAGCATCAACATCTTCAGAAAGTCTTCAATCAGGAGTAGATTTTAGTTTCTTGTTTCCTGAAATTCTGGGTCAGTTAGAAAATATGTCATTCATCAGATCTTGGATTGTTAAATCCTGTCAGATGACAATATTTGGCCAATGAGAATCTCTTCCCCAAACCACACTGGGAGAAGAATGGACACAAGAAATCATTCTTTGGTAACTGAGTTCATCCTTGAGGGGTTAACAGATGAGCCAGGACTCCAGCTCCCTCTCTTCTTCCTGTTTCTACTGATCTACATGGTCTCCATGGTGGGCAACCTGGGCTTGGTCATTTTAATCAGGATCAGTTCTCAGCTTCACACGCCCATGTATTATTTTCTCAGTAATTTGTCCTTCATAGATCTCTGCTACTCCTCGGTCATAATTCCAAAGATGCTGGTAAACTTCGTGTCAGAGAAGAACTTCACTTCCTTTCCTGAGTGCATGGCCCAGCTCTTTTTCTTCTCCTTCTTCATTATTAATGACTCCTACATGCTAACAGCCATGGCATTTGATCGTTATGTTGCCATCTGTAACCCCTTGCTCTACACTGTTACCATGTCCCACAGAGTCTGTTTCCTACTGGTCACCGGTGTGTATATAGTGGGGGCTGTTGGAGCCTTGATTCACACCAGCTTCATATCTAGTCGCTCCTTCTGTGGCACTAATGTCATCCACCATTACTTCTGTGACATCCTTCCTCTTCTGAATATATCTTGTTCAAGAGACTACACCAAGGAACTTTCAGTGATGATTTTGGTTGGATTCAATGTCTTTGTATGTGTTGTAGCCATCTTCATCTCTTATGCTTTCATCCTTCCCAGCATCTTGCACATCCACTCAGCTGAAGGCAGATCTAAAGCTTTCAGTACCTGTAGCTCCCACCTTGCAGCTGTTGGGGTTTTCTATGGCTCCATCATCTTCATGTATTTTAAACCATCTACCAGTGACAGAATACAGGACACGGTGGCCTCTGTGTTTTATACTACAGTGATTCCCATGCTTAACCCCCTTATCTACGGCCTTAGGAACAAGGATGTCAAAGAATCCATTAAAAAAATTCTGAAGGGTGGGAAACTTCCCAGGTCTGGGTAGAAAATAGTACCTTTGAAAAGAAATAGCACAAATAGACCTTGTGTTTTCTTTTAGCTTGTTTTTAACAGTAATTATTTTCAAATCAAGAGCCATTTTAAGCTAAAAGGTCTGAATAACTTATTTTCAGTTACTCTTTAGGTGCTCTTACTCCCAACACCAAGTGTCTTCTAACTCTCCTTATTCTCCTACTTACTCAAGAAACAAACTCTTACATATATTTTCACCCTTTGGTATAAGCTTATAGGTATCTCAGAACTCTTTGTAATTTTTCTTGCTAAACTGAAAACTCCTGACCAAACTTTTTTCAGTTGTAATATTGAATGATGACTAAATATGTAAATCCCCATAGGTATTTGCATTTTTAATACAAAACAAAGTTATAGAGGCAATATACATTTTTTTGTAAAAATTTTTTAAGGAAATCTGAGTGCTAAGTTGCTGAAGTCATGTCTGGCTCTTTGCAATCCTACATAGTTTCTAGTATATAAGAAGAAATAGCATTTTCCTAAGATTTCTAGTCATTGTTATAACCATCAAAAATAAGATCTGTCTTGTGGTGGTCTCAAGCAGGGTAGAGGCTGGGATGGGCATGGAACAAAAGAGCAAAATTATTTTAAATTTTCACTCTAATTTTAACTTACATATTTTTCTGTCCAACTTATTGTGTAGTTTAAGTTGGAGCTTAATGTGACTTTGTTCTGGATGACTTCCTTAGTTATTCCCTACTTATTTTCTCACTATTCATAATTCCTCTGCCCCACCATACCCTTATATTTCATTCTTCCAGTCAATCAATCAATTTTTGATGGACAACCATGTGACAGACAGACAAAATCCCTACCCTTTTAGGGAACAAATAATGAAAAAAAATATATATATATACACTGCATATAAGGAGCAGAAATTTTAAAGGTGTGCTATAAACAGGGAAAACAAATGTCAGAGTAATAGAAGGTGACAGAAGAATGGTGGGGGAGGATGGCAAGTATCTGTAGGGCTTTATGGGAAGGTTTGAAAGTTTTGACTGTCCTTCTAAGTGAAATGGGAAGTCACTGAGGATGTGAACAAAAGACCTGATCTGATTAATAGGTGATTTTTTTCTCTTTTTGTTGAATGGGCCTAAAAGCAATGAAATCCAAGTAACAAAGATCATACATATCATCTAATGATATTTGGTTTCTAACTATCACACTCCACTAAGGAAAACCAAGACTTAATGGAGAAATGGCAGATTCCAAGGTAGGATATCTAAAATTCAGGATGAGTCTAGAGCATCTGAATATTTCATAGAGGAAGAAAGTACCCAATAATTATGGAGATGTATCAAAACTAAAGAGTTTATACTGGACAAATTTAGAACAATTTAAATATCAGAGTGGATGGCTTATGAGAGTCTATGAGTCCTTCCTANCCCATGAAGTGATGGGACCAGATGGCATGATCTTAGTTTTCTGAATGTTGAGCTTTCAGCCAACTTTTTCACTCTCCTCTTTCTCTTTCATCAAGAGGCTTTATAGTTCCACTTGAATAATTTAAACATATATTTATTAATTTACATAATCATTATAATTATATATTATGTTTATAAATTTATATATAAATATAAATTCAGATATGAATCTATATCTGAATTATATAATTAGAAACTTATCAAGTTGCAATGACCATACTAATAATTGAATTAGCTAAGAATCATGAATGGAAGCTAAAATCAATGGGTTGAAAATACCTCCCTGTAAAAAAACAAAAAGTACCTCCCTCTTAAAGGAATAAGAACAAGCCAGACCTACAATCCTAAGGTGTCATGTCACAGATTCCTCATTCATAATAAAGCAAAGGGAATACCTCTGCAATAGTAAATTTTAATGGAAACCTTTTTTAACCAAATGATTAAATTTAATGTTAGCAATAATGGAACAAATTGATGTCTCATCCCTTCTACTGTGATTTTCTGAAAGAAATAACACAATGTCACCTAAAGTAGCCATCTGGGTCAAAGATGTTTAACCTGAATTTAATCACAAGGAGTTAGACAAGTGAAAACTGAAAGATCATCAAACATGATGAACCATGTTCTTTTTAAATGCCAATGTCATCAAAGACTGAAAAAGGCTGGGAAAAGGACTTTAAATTATGTATACTAAAGGTAAATGCCAATTAAACATTATGCTCAGTTAGCTCTTCAAAACAAAACAAAACAAAAGTAACCTGTAACACACATTATTGGGGACAATTGAGGATATTTAAATGTGGGTTATGTGTTCATCGGTAAAAGTGAATCAATGTTAAATTTTCTGAGTGTAATAGTTTCATTATGGTTGTATAGGAGGACATCTCCTTTCTTAGGGGACTTATGCCAAACTGTTTAGGGATAAAGTATCATGATGTGATGTGGATAGTCATCTCTCAAATGAGATGGCATTGTGTGTGTGTGTGTGTGTGTGTGTGTGTGTTCCCAAATTAAACACAATTCAGTTTTATGGTGACAATGGCCATGTTTTTCTTGTGTGCCTTTGTATCTCTAATACCTATGGTAACAAATGATACACAGTTGTTCAAACAATATTCATTGAATGGCTCAATGAATCTCTGTGAGTAAAAGTGATAAGCAAGAATTAAATAAATGAAAAATAAGTAGAGGTAATGTATGCAGTCAAACTCCTAGATGCATATATTTCTCTCCTCTGGGAATAAACCTGTCTAAAATCAAAATAGAATTTTGATTTTTAATTATGTCTGTTCTTCTACTCTGTGATTTGTTTCTTTATATATTTTTTTCTGGTGCTTTTTCTGCTTCATTAATCTATTTCTCAATTTTGGAATTAAGAACTTAATTTATATTCTAGTGTTTATTTTTGAGGTATTATTTCCATGCAGTGAAATGAGTTGATATCAAGTATGCAGACAAATCAGTTTGAAAAATGAACACCCTGTGTAGCCTACACCCCAAAAAAGATGTAAAATATTTCCATAACTGAAAATGTTCTTTCTTGCCCATTGCTAATCAATACCCACACCTCCAATCACTACTATTTATTATTTTTTAACTGTAGATGAGTTTTGCCTGTGGTTGATCTCCATATGAATTTTGGTGACAAGTTTTTCTCTTTGAGATAATTTCCAGTAATCTTAGCTAATCCATGCTCTCTTCTGCTGGTATAAAAGCATGAAGTGTAATATATAATGTGCTCAGTCATGTCTGACTCTCTGTGGACCATGGACTATAGCCCATCAGGCTCCTCTCTCCATATAATTTTTCATGTGAGAATACTGGATGGGTTGTCATTTTCTTCTTCAAGGAATCTTCCTGACCCAGGGGTCAAACCCATGTCCCTTGCATCTCCTGCATTGCAGGCAGATTCTTTACCACTGAGCCACCTGAGAAGCCCAGTACAAAAGCATACAGGCTCTTTAATGGATATCTTTTTTTTTCACTTAGGACATTGAGTCTCCTCCACCATCCTCCTCCTTTACATCCCCTTCCTCCCTTTTCCCCTCCCCACCAATTCCTCTCCCTTTCCCCTCCTGCTCCTTCTCCTCCTTATCTTTCTTCTCAGGATTTTGCATTTAACCACTCACTTTTCTTTTCCTCTTTCAATACAGATTCAAAAAGTTTCTTCTTCCTTCACTTAATACTCTTTCCCTAGAAGTGTTGCCTTCCTAAGGTTGCGTCTTTGAGTCTTATGTGAACTTGCTTGATTTCTTTCCTATAGTCAATATTCTAGTCTACCAAGACTACTTTTTTTGGTACTTATTGCATTTAAGCCATATCTTTAAATTCTAACAGTCCAATACTTCTGCTAGAACATGGAGTCATATTTCTACATATAGGTAGTTTGAACTTAGTAGTGCTCTCTTTATATAGCTGTGCTGAAAGTGCAGTGATTATGTGGTTTCACTTGTTCTTCTAGTTGATCTGTGCAGCTTTCAGGAGAATGTATGGAGAGATTTCAATTTGCACAAGTGCCATCACCTCAGTTACCAACAAAGCTCTCGATAAAATATTTGAAATTTTTAAAAGTACTACCAAATGGCTGAATAATAATCAATTAGTCTACATGATTGGATATCAAGGGATTGCATACAATGAGACACTATGACATTACACCAAAAATGTTACAATTTAACAGACCCACAATATTAGGTGTTGGCAAGAATCTGCAGAAGCTGGAACTCTCAGACATCACTAGTGGCAGTATAGCATTACCAACTGAGTTGTAATACAGTTTGGCATTGTTTTCTAATACTAAATATTAATCTTCTTTATATACCCTAGAGAAAGGAAGATGTACGTCAATTAAAAGATTGGTAAGATAACATACATAAAAGATATAACAGTTCCAAACTGAACATGATCTTAAACATTCATCAAACAGAAGGATGGATAATTAAGCGTGTTGTATTTATACAATGGAGAGCACACAAACATGTCACGACACAAAAATGTCTTACAGACAAAGTTTTGAGTGAAACAAGCTACACACAGAAGCGTGTATACTGTGTGATCCCACTTAAACGCAGTCCGGAAAAGGTAAAACTACCAAAATGTACACTGCTTCTACTCCTTGGAGAACTTCCCTGTTGGCTCAGATGGTAAAGCGTCTGCCTACAATACGGGAGACCTGGGTTTGATCCCTGGGTTGGGAAGATCTCCTGGAGAAGGAAATGGCAACCCACTCCAGTATTCTTGCCTGGAAAATCCCATGGACGGAGGAATCTGGTAGGCTATAGTCCACGGGATCACAAAGAGTCAGACGTGACTGAGCTACTTCACTTCACTCCTTGGAACATGATAAAGCCTTGATGTGATGCTAATTTTTCTATTTATATTTTTATCTGATTAGTCACTAAATAGGTATGAGCATAATAAAAAATTCAAAGAGCTGTATTCTTAGTACATTTTGTATATATAGATATGTAAAAATTCACTGAGGTACAGTTGAAGTATATCTTGAAAGATGCTTGGAATAGAAGGTAAAACTCCTTCAATTCCCCTGCAC